ACCTGGCTGCTTCGTTTATGGATCACGCTGGTGACCAAGGTTCAGCCGAAGAAACGTATCGTTGTTATTCGTTAAATTCACCGACAACATGCGCATCCTTACGATCCGGTATTGTTCGTTCCAAATCCGTCACCTCGTGTAAGCATTCGAATCGAATCGAGAGACGTTGTAAAATTGCCGATAGAGCGGACGATAGCTACGATCTTTGTTCTACTAGGGATATCGAGTGGAAAATGCAGAGGTATCTCGTGTAGTGTCGTAAACGTAGTTATCTTGTACGAAATGTTGTATTACCTACAGATATAAATCTCTATTGTATATTTAATCGCGGTAGAAAAATGATTAAGTCGAAGACCGACGAAATACGATTTCTCATCAAATAGGTATACGTTTAATGGACAGCGAGTCGTGCAGGTCTCTACCTCGTCGATATCCGATGTGAGAATAACGGGGAACGGGCGGAATGAATCGGATGTTGGCAAGAAGATCACTTACGGCGAGTGGATGCGAAAGAAGCAAGAAATGGCGCGACGGAAAAAGGGAGAGAAAGACGAGGCTGAACGGCAGAGGCAAATGGAGGAGGATAGGCTAGCTCGTGAAAAGGAAGAAAGAGAATGCCGCGATAGGGAGAATTTCGTCAAGTGGTCCGAGATGAAAAAGAAGGAAGAGGAGAAGAAGAAAGCTGTAGTAGAGAAGGAATTGGAGTTTCAGAAGCAATTGAAAGATTTGGAGGATAAAGCGGCTGTAGCGAAGACTTTGTATCTTCGTCAATGGGCTCGTAAAAAGAAAGAAGAAGAGAGAGGTAAAGAAAGCATCGGGTTTTTCCTTCGTCTCGTTGATGATTCGTGCATTTACGATGTTTGTGTAGCATGCCAGAAGAAAGAGGAAATGAAGCGGAAAAAGCACGAGGAAGAAAGGAAAAAGAGATTAGAGGAGAGCACGAAAGCCTACGAAAACTGGCGAAAGATGGCGAAGAACAAACCGAAACCTGCCACGCAAGGGCTTCTGCGTCAGTTGCTTCATTTTGTCTTATATACGTATAGAAATGCTTTCAAATGGTAGAAATGTAATAATACGACATTTTCACCTGTTGTCAGCTCATCAAAAAGCCAAGCCAGCGTACGTGAATCCTACGCCGTGGCAGCGAATCGTCGACGATAGCGAGGACGTGGAGCAGGATGCGTCGAATGTCGGCAGAAAAACGCAAGGTCAGCCGAGGATGAGCAGTAAGAGAAGCGCTGTGTCTCGTCAGTGATTAAATGGTCGATCGATTGGAACTCGTTGGAACTCGGGGAAGCTACGTGGTTTTCAGTTTGAAGTTTGAAGAACGATCGCATAGTTTCATTATTACGACTCGAAGCGAGATAGAATTAGAAAGAAGCGACGGACGGAACCGAATATCATTGAATATGAATTGAATATGAGCAGCGCTTTTGGATCGCAGACTGTCGCGCGTGCGTGCGTGTGTGTATGTGTGTGTGTGTGTGGTACAGACAGCAGTTGTCTCAGAAAAGACATATCGTACGATTAGAACGATTCTACACGCACCGACGTATAGTAGATAACTTCGTTTCCTAGCAGATATTTTTCCCTTTTTTACAACCTTCGACGTTCGTCCGCCTATGATCAATGGATATTAACGTATCTGAAGTATCTGAAGAATCTAACGTATTAATGTATCTGAAGTTAATCGCGAACAGCGTTTATCGGTCGATATTTAGATGCGTTAAATCGATGTAATTGAAAGTTCGTAGTAGATAGTAAGGAAGAGAAGGAGAAAGAAGAAGGAGAAGTTGCGCGAAGGTAATTGAAAGAAACGTATAGGGAGAGAACTGAATACTCTTGTTATTTGTATTATTAATACTAAATAATAGCGTACTGTATATTACATGACGTAGATTTGTTACATAATCGTAACTTTTACACGGGGTCAGGTGAGTGCTTTCTACTTGTTCGTTACGCCAGGCGTATTTCGAGAAAAAGAATTTCAGAGACCAGTGAAAAACGACAATTCGAATACATACAGAAGAGGACGTCGATGTATGTATGGCAGATGTCATGCATTTTAGCCAAGTATTTAAAGGTGTAAGCGAACAATTACACGGTACGCAGCATCGGTCAGCATCGCGCGATCGATCTACTTGACGAAACTTTCCTCTTCTTCTCGAAGTCTCTCTATATCCGATTTGTTCATGAAATAGTAGGAGGGTTGCCGTGATTTCTGGAAATTCAAGGCAACAATCATTTCCATCGAATCGTCGATCGTTGGTTAGAACGAAGGATAGAGATTTCTTACTAAATCTTTGACTATGCGTTTTGCACCCGCTTTTATAAGAACGTTGCTTAGTTCTTCGACAGATGGTAAACCCATTGCATAATGCAAGGCAGTTCTCTCCAACTAAAAATAGGGCGTTAAACGTATAAACGTATCGGATAATAACGAATCTGATTTGGTATTTTTACTTTAAGAATAAAATTAATCCTGTGCTTCTGTTTCGAAATGAACTCTTACATTGTCACCTATACGTAGAGTTTCTGGATACATTTTAGCAATGTAGCGAACCGCTTCTTCGTTTTCGCGAAGCACCGCGATGTGGAGAGCGCATCTGCCCATCGAATTCTTTCCCATTGCCAATAACTTTCCTCCTCCGTTGTTCTTACCTAACAGTTCTTTTACCCTCGCTACGTTGCCCGTTCTGATTTCGCGGTGCACCTGTTCACGTTGTGTCTGTAAAAGCGTCTCCTTAGCGTGTGTTATTCTCGATCGTTACACCCTTGGAAAAACCGCTATATATAATAAGATTAATAAGATTATTCGTTTTGTTTTACCACGTAATTTGGAATGGATTGTAAAAATTGTACGGTTGCCTCTCTTCTTCGTTGTGCAGCGATCTCTACGATGTTTATTCCTTCGTCTTCCACGTCTAAAATATGGTCGTACCCTTCTAACAGTAGTTCCACTAATTTTTCAGTTTCACCTGAACAAACGTTACAACGAGCTTGATAAAAGTGCTGTTCGAAATTTGTCCGCAATTGCAAGCACGTATTACCTCTTGCTGTCAAATAAGCTACGTATCGATCGATCTCGTCCATATTTTCTCGAATATTTGCCAATTCAGCCACGTCTCTGGCTGTTCTATACAATTCGTCTCTGAAACCAACGTTAACTTGGCTCTCTTGAAGCAAATGGAACAAGCCGTCCTTTGGGTAAGATCGAATCGCAGCGAAGTGAATAACGCTTTGACCGTGTTCATCCTGAAGGAACAGGATTTTCCATAAAAATCGTTTTGTTAGTTTTGTTAGTTTGAATCCCTTCTGAAATTCTATAGTTTAATTCTATAGTTTAGACGCACTCTGTTTGGATTGCTAAAGGCTGACTCTGGCACGTCGGAATCTGGACTTTCTGGATAACCGGCATCCTCGTCCCCATTTTCATTTTCGATATTCTCTATGTTTTCTTCGGCACGATCAGGGATGATCAATACGTTCGGCTCCTAACATATCGTACAGCTATCTATACTTGGTGTATGAAAATTATTCGTACGCGCATCTATGTATCTAGAGTTATTATTTACCTGTTGTTGCGCGCTGTTTTTCCTCTTATTGGCAAAGTTATATAAATACGTAGCCAGATATGTAACTGGATCGTTTGGACGGGTATTGGCAACTTCTGTCAAACCTCTGATCAATGGATCGCCGAGTGCTATAAAGATATGAACTTGGAGATTATGTTATATTTCGATTGGATCATGGAAATGTTCGTGTGTTCGTTCGTTTAACGTCGACTTACACGATGCCAAGTAGCGACCCTCTTCTTCTCGAAATATCGCTATATCAACCGGCTTGTCGTCTGAAAAGCGAACAACACTTTTATTTTCATCAACTAGAAGATACAAAAGGCCAGAACATATTGCACCTATTTCTCCGCTTTATAAAGCGTAATAAATTATTATTCGATCATTATTATGGGATCTCTGGCTTTTCTTTTACATCGATTTATTACATCGATGTAATTTACATCGATCGAGGCGCAATACGTTCCTAATGCTTTGCTTTCGTTTTTTCTTATTTATCTTATCCATCTTGTTTGAAAATAAGAAAGAAGCAAATTCTTCGGAAAAGATAGGTGCATTGTGAACATTGAGTGCACAGCTGTTGGTTGCACTTTGGAAAACGCGTTGCGCACAAACAAATCTAGCACGATACCACGATCTCGGTATGCGGAAGCAGGTTTACACACGAGTAAGAGAATTTTACGATAGGAGTTACATCGATAGAAGCGATAGAAGCGACAGAAGCGACAGAAGCGACAGAAGCGACAGAAGCGATAAGAAGCGATAGAAGCTATGGAAGCGATAGAAGCTATAGAAGCGATAGATGCGATAGAAGCGATAGAGGATTTTCGTTTACGTATAATCGTTCGCGTACCAGTAGCCACTCGTAAAAACGTACGGTTCGTCGGTTCAAGTTGGAAAGACACGTGCTACGCCATTTCTGTTTCGTGTGAACATCGAACAGCTCGTGCATGACACATAAATCATCTTGCGATATTATTCAATTTATATAGAATCTCTGTGTAGCCGATTTTAGCCCGTTTTTAGGTACGTATACACACTTTACGTGTAGGTAGACAAGCATGGTGTCGTGCGACAACATGTCAAAGCGTCTTAACAATTGCCCATGTACCATATACCAATGGTTCATTTTACTAACCTAACGAACAAAATCCAGCGTCCCTGCGAGCAGCTAATCTTTCATTTTCGTTTAATTAATTCGGTGCACGAGAAATAGAATAACGTTCGCACACGTCTTTCCAACGTCCCAACCCGTCTCTTTCCTTTTCTCTCCTCTCACTTTCGACTTTCGACTTTCCACTTTCCACTTTCGACTTTAGTTTGCTTATGGACGGTCAATCGACGCATCGGCTCGATATACGGAATTATCACACACGGAATTATTCCACGTATAAGCGTATTATTCGGTTATCGAGAAAAAAGAAAAAGGAAAAAAGAAAAATGAAAAAGAAGGGAAAAAAGTAGCGTAGGAGCGTTGAATAACATGGACGAGGAAAGACAGAGTCTTTCGTTGATCGTTTTAACGTCCCCTCTCCACGACGATTTTAATTCTGGAAACGTTTAGCACTGTTCCGTTTGCGGAAAATTCCCGCGATCAAAGTTGCAATCTTCAACGAATTGTTTATCGATAGTTCCTTCTCCAACGCCAGGATATTCAGAACAGCTCTGGAGAAATCTTGAAGGGTCTGCAGCTCGGTAATACTCAACGATTGCTGGTTACCGATTCGAACCATATCCCGCTTCGCTGTTTCTTGTATGCTTAATCCACGAACTACACACAGATGCTTCAAATGATCAAATTCCTTCGACAATTCCGGGAACCTGATTATCGCGTTAAACCTAAGAGTATTGCCAATGGCGTACGGTCGTGCGCCGAGGAAGCCCAGCTTCTTGTCTCTCTTGAATTTCATTCTTTCGTCGAGCATCGTCATCACCTTCGCCAGCCTTACGTAGCCACGACCGATCGAACCCGGTCTGTTCTCGCTGGTGCGACAAATAACCCTCAGGTGATCCTGGACGTTCACCCAAGCAGCTAGGTCACCGGCAGAGGCGACGTAAACTCCTCGGCCGTAAGGCCAGTGCTTCCCATGAAGACGTTTGTCATCGTGAACTTCAAGATCCGTAATAGGCAATAGCAAACCGGCTGCTGCCAGTTGGGCCCTGATCGGACTCGGTTGATCCAGAATTTCGCTGAGGGTAAAGTAAGTTCCGGCCTCGTCCTCGCTGCTACCCTCCGCCACCATTGCCGAGATCTCTTGGCTCATCAATTCACTGGTGATCTCTCGTTCCACCTCTTCAAGCTGGTTCACCGTAAGCGTCAAGGGAAGCGTGTAACTTTCCAGATTTCTGCAACACTCTATTACAGCAGCTTGAACGTATTTGGCCGGAGGATCGAGGTCGTACGCCTCGATCGCCGAC